ACAAGAAAGTCTCCACATAGCAACAGCTCAAATTAATTCATGGATCCTTAAGCTGATATTTATGGGCTTTATTCTTAGTTATACATCTCCTTCTTATATGTGTTTCCGTTCTTTCTCTTTGTATAGCTTGTACAAAACTACATATTACTTGTAATTATAATCAACTAAGATTAATAAAATCCTTTAAGGTTTTCTCAAAGATAAAAATAACCAAAAGAGACAAATTTGATAGGCAAAGTTCTAGGAACCACATTAACTGTATTACATAACCCATCAACCATAAAATCAATCTTTGAAATGCCCAACGCAACCATGAAGTTAAATAGTGTTGCTAATTCAATTTAAGAAAGATAAAAAGATGGAAGCTATTAGATGCACAAAGAAAAAGCGCATCCAAGCACTCTTCCTTAATTGACATTGATAATCCAAATATTAGTGCCAGAGAGAAATAGACGGACAGAAAACTAATAGTTATGCTCCAAAAAAAGATTGAGTAAGGTGGATTAATAGAAAACTAAATTGGCCATGACAGGCTACAATGATTGTTCAATATTCATCAGGTCTTGTAAAAAGCGATATATGCCACACAATGAACTAGAAACCATTATAAGCACTTGCATGAGCAAGAGAAAATACGGAAAATAAAATATCCATCATCTAATAAACTTATTTCTGTTCTGAGGAAAATCTTTAAAATAGAAAATGATAAGCAATGCATTTAAACATGTTGAGTAAAATATAAATTTCAAGCTTTGTTGCATTATATATTTAAATCTTTGTTAAATAGATAATAATATACTACATGCAAAATTTGCATTTAACTTAGTTTGTTAGTCTGCAACATTTATTGCCTACAGCTAACATATTTGCCCAATAATCTATTTCATATTCATCATCATTTTTTCCATAAATCACTATATTCATACCCTTCAATATCTTCTCCCTCCCTCCCTCCCTCCCGCTCTCTCTTCTTAGTCTCATGTTCTTCTGCCTTCAGACTCACTATTACCAGCAACCACATTGGATATAGCTTATCTCTTAGTGTGGATCTTTATTTCTCCAAATTTTGATGTGTTTTCAAATCACCCAATAGAGAATACTAATGATAGAAAAAAAGAAATCTTTTATTTGAAGTATTAACACTCATCCACCTTCTTTCAAAGCATCTAGTTCACCTTTAGGATCACAAAATTCAACTTCATTCAAAATCTTTCCTGATGTATAATAATATGGAAATTCAATCAGAATCACTAAAACAATTCAAGCAATAGATACAAAGTTTACCCCTACAATTTGTAGTGTTCAGCAGTCCATGTAAAATAAGTGCATATAACAATGTTTAAAATTGCGCAATTGGGTAAGGCGAGGCGTAAGCCTCAAAGTGTTTTGAGATGTAAGCCTCAAAATTAAAAAATTTCGTAAATTAATAATATTTTATAAATTGTAAAGTGTAAAATAAAAATAATATTTTAATATTCTGATTTATTAACGTATTAAAGAATGTTATAACAACATTTTAACTAAGTAAAAAGTAATTAATTATGTAAAATTAAAGTAACCCGTTAATATCCTAACATCAAATTATGAAACAATATGAGTTATCCAAACATTAAACTATCAAAAAAAGCTAAGATATTAAAATAAAATATTAAAACATCAAAACAAAACAAAGTTCAACATTAATCTTTCCCTCACACTCATAATACCCCCACTTAAAACAAACTATATCAAATCATTAACGTTTGAATTTTTAATTTTAAAGTCTATTACTCTCATTACCCAATTGATTTTCATTGGAATCATTACCATAATGAATTGTTTATCTCAAGTCTTATCTTTAGTCGTATCTATATTCTCACATTCATTCTTATCTTTAATCCCAATTACGTTTTGCTTTTTAATTGAAATTAATGAATAATTTTTTATGGATATATTTTCCTTTTATTTATTGTTATTTAATGTGTGAAGTTAAAATATTAATAGATGATATTATTTTTAGTTTTGTTAAAAAAATTACAGATATTCTAAAAAATTTGAATTATTTTTTGAGGTGAGGCGTGTCTTGAGACGCGCTTCAACCTGGGTGACATACGCCTTAACTTGGGACAATGAGAGATAAACTTCATATTGTGCGATTTTAAACAAGGCATATCCTTTGATTGCCACCACTGAAATTATGAGGATATTCTTTAGATCATTATGAAGGTGATCAACTCAACTATGACAAGCATAGTATTATGTTGATGAAGAAATTGAAAAAAATACATAAATAATTCATGAAAGAACCAAAGTATCATAGCACAAACACAAAGGGTAGTGTTAAAGTTCAAACATTACAATATGAGAGTTCTAACAAACAAAGATGGGTACATTAAACATAAGTACTTCAATCACGCCAAACAATTTTGACAAATTAGATGACTATAAATCGCCCAAATAATCATTCATCTCAAAACCCCATCCCCACAAACGAAAGTGGCATATCCAAAATTTAAATAATATTTCTTTTTTAAACACTTAGCATCTGCTATACCATATTACTAAGAAAATTCCAAAAAGCCATGATGATTACTGGTAAGTGAACCATATTTAGAAAAGATGAAACAGATAACACCAAATTTGTAACAAAGAAAATATTGGATGGTCTGTGGTGTGACAAAAATAAACAATATTAATACTTTTACAAATCAAATAAATGACACGATAATATGGCTAATGCTGAAAAGCCTTATATCTAACTCATCAATGACGTAAGATACTATGATTGAAAAAGTGAATGTATTATAATATTAACATAAAAAATAATGAGAACTTTATCTTTTACAACGTGGTCTATAACAATCTTGTACAATGCTGAAACAAAAATAGCACCAACCTTCATTACTTAGCTCACTCTTTTAATCGGAAGTAATATTAAAATTTTGCATTAATCAAAATATACCCAATTTCATAAATAATAACTAATAATCTCACTTATTAGAGGAATACTTTCATTCTGTATTACAGTCAGACTTGGTTAAAGAAAACTCCAAATCTTCCTGCCAAACTAAAAGCAATGAAAATATTAAATGAAAAAAATAAATTTTCACATATAAAAGAGAGATTAATAGTTAATTTGGAGTTTGCCAACTTCTTTGCATGTATTGGTGCTTTGTTGGTCATGATTATAACTTGCGAAGCACTATGAATGGAAAAGATTTGGTGGGATGATTTATGGTGCTAATTTCCCAATTGTAAATTTCAGCTTTTAAATTGTTAGCTCAAGGATATCATCTTTTTTCTTCTTATATCGGAGTGCATGCTCTTTTATCAATCCACTTCAGAGAAACAAAATCATTCCTTAATGAAATAAGGACTTAATATTCTGAAATACTAATCTTTGTCTTTTATTTAGGAGTGCAAAATATCTTCAAAGAGAGACTAAGTAGTGGGATATTGGTAGACATACATTAACTACAATGGATGACAATAGAATTATTAGAGTTACTAATCTTTCTCCAGATAAGGCATATTTGAAAACTATACTCTTGCTAGATGAAGATAAGGTGTTATGGAAAAGACAAAACTGTTGGTGCTAATGATGACTCGTATAATCATATTTTATTTTATTATTTTAAATAAGGTCTTCGTATTTAATTTTTTGAAGGTTTTTTGAAATTTCACAAGAAATACTGATATTTGAAAATATAAAATACATAAAGATTAATGAATATTAATGTGATTAAATATTTATTTTATAATCAATAATTTTGTTTTTCTTTTATCAATAAATATTTCGTAAAGTATATAAATGAAATTAAATTTCATCATGAGATGGTTTTATTAAAAAATACTAAAACTATATATTGTATATAAATAAGTTATCAATATAATAATATGTCAATGGCATGCCAATCCCTACTTTTTATAGTTATATCGTATCATTGTACCATGTTATGACATATTTGTCCTTGTGTTCTATTCTCATATTCATGATCTTTTCACATCTAACAAGACAACATGAATCAAATTTTGAAGTAAAAAATAATGGAGGTATATCCCAACTATATATATCAAGAGCAAATAACATACAACTATGTAAGAGCTTTCGATAACTATAGTGCATAACACATAAGCACGTCACATGGTATTTTACAAGTAACAAAATATAGAAACCTTGAAAACTTTATTAATAATCCAACAACATAAAAGAATCCTTAAACAAATAAAAAATAAATACATAAATAAATAAAAACTGAATGTCACACAATAAAACATAAAATCACTTTAACATTCGTAAAGGTAAACAAATGAAAATTAAATTTAAAGATCAAACGCCATGACAAAGAAAATATTAGATTTGCAAATAAATTATGATCATTGAAATACATAATCATTGAATAACATGCTCAACTTTAACACATAGGCTCAAAGCATAATAAATAGTTTCTTTACAAGTCCTATATTCAACAAGCCCAAACTAGATATCCTAAGAATCATCATCACATTATTACATTAAATAGCCTCACCTCCTTCATTATTATCATTTCTTGAATCATAAGCTTCATCATCATTTCCACGTCATTTGCAAGTATCTAGGCCTAAATAAATATTATTTTTTATTTCCATTAGATGATGCTTGATTGTTATAAATTAAATCATATATACTGCAAGCTCTTGTTAAATGAAGTCCTAGTCAAAATAACTCCGAGACACACAAACACTCCAATGGAGCAAAAGGTGCACCTCGCTATGCTACGAGCAATAGAACATATTATTTTTTGTTATTGACATATATAATCCCAATCAACCATAGTCAAACCTACAAAATTCAACATATCGAATAACAAACACAAAAATAGCTTCACTAAAATTTTATTTGAACCTTATAATTCTCAAAAAATCAACAGCTTCACCAAAATCACAAGAAATACCCTAAAACACAAGAACATTGTCTGGCTATTACACGATATCGCCCGATCAAAAAAAGAAACCAACCATAGAATAATAAAATTTACAACCTCTTTCTTCCTCTGTGAAGGGACAAAAAAAGACCCCAATCGTGTGTGGGCTAATTGATTATCTGCCTGCTCCAACTTCTCAGCTACAACAGAAAAAAAACAACCACAAAACCAAAAGTTATAAATAATATTTAAAAAACTCAAAAGCATATGTACTGCAGTATTTCCCTTAAGGAAAAAAAAAAAAAAAGAATAGCCAACAATGAATAGCCAACAATAAATTTAATTTAATCAATGTATAAAGACATGGAGAAAAGTATGAGATTAACCTAAATCAGAAATTTGCCCTGCAACATAGTCTCTGTTGCCCAAGTGTGGGGATGATGATAATGTGTTTACCCAATACTTGTTCCAAAGTAAATCCAATAGGTAGCCATCCAGAGACGACTTGAAGTAAGTTATATCCAATGCATAATACTATACCAAGACAATATACTTTCCATAAATTAAAAATACAGAAATGCTGAAAAAATTTCACAGAAGTAATCAAATCAACCTGCTTGCAATGGACCCCAAAGTCTTCTATTTTGTTAAGAGGAATGGTTTGGTATTCTGATACTGGCTCATCAGGTGGATTATAGCCCTCAGGATATGCCCTGAAGGCCCCAATCTCAACCTTCCCAGCAGACACAGTCCTGGTGGGATCGATTACAACTGCCAAGAACGGCTCTTGGTATTTTTGATTCAGCATCTGTGTTGATACATCAATGCCTGATAGCCAGCACCCATAACCAGGGTGAGAATGGTACCATCCTACCACATTTTCCACCCTCCCAACCTGTTAAAAAACAAGAAACAAAATCATCCGACATTTATATATACAAGTAAAAGCATAATTAGTCAAAAGTTGTAAATTTTAATACATGTGCTGAACAGACAACGAAACGTTCTTCAGGCCATCATGTATGATCCTCTACTTCTCCTTTCCAGCAACAAAAAGATTTCCTCCACAATTACACCAGAAGAAATATCTAGCAGATTAGGGTTTAGGTTTGGAATTTACCCGCTTGTTGGTCTGGGAGTAATCAACCATATACTCATAGGCGTCAGCCTGAGCATTGACACGAGTCTCGGTGCCCTCAACGGGGAGAGCAAAGGCGTCCATCACCACGAACGTGTCGCCCTCGATCTTGCCCTGCATAAGTCCCATAACCTCGATGGTGCCACCGGAGCGAGCATGAACGACCATCTTAAGAAGCGCTAGAGCGGAGATTTTCACACGGCGGAAGAAATTGGGGTCGTGTTGCCACGGCTTCTCCTGCCTTGGCCTGAGCAACATCATCATAGTAGTAGATCGCGTCCGACTCCGCTGGCGAATCTATGGCCACGATGTTGTTCTCGAGTTCCCATGTTTGTCGCGCTATCGCTGCCGACGAAGAAGTAGCCGGTGAGGCAGAATCCATCTTGCGAAGCAGGGAAATGGCTGCAGAAGAGCGAGGCTTTATCTACCACTTTCGTGCAGAATCCTTCTCCAAAGCGCGCCCCGGCTCCTCTGCTGAAGTCAGTATCGGTGCTGGGAGATTTTCTTTCTAGCCTTTGATATATGATTAAAAGGAAGATTTGCATAAATACAAGTTAAATCCTATGTATTTATGTTTCTAACATCTAAAATTGAATTTTTACCTGCAAGTGGTCATTTTTTTAATTAAAATAGTGATATTTTTATAAGAAGTGGTCATTTTTTTAATTAAAATAGTGATATTTTTATAAGATACGTATTTCGTATATATTAACATCCTAGCTTTACATGAAGATTGAGTACATACATAGATAAAAAAAAACAATAAAAAAGAACAATAAGAGTTTTTACGTGGAAAATCTAAAATGATAAAAATCATGGTTCTCATCAAATTGAAATGATTCTACTATGCTGATCTAGATTATAATACTTTACAGATCTTTAACTGACTCGAAGTAATATAATTTATAAATAGAGATTATTGACGTGACTTCCACTAGGAGAGTGGAATGATAAGTTGGGGAAGTACCAGTGTCCTGATGGCGGTGATGATTGAGGTCAGGAAACATTAATCTGACGACTTTGACGGCCAAATGATTGGGGCCTGGCAGTGATGACGGTGGTGATCAACTATATAGGTTACAAGACTTTACCAACCCTTCACTAGCCGAAAGAAATATTAGATAAGTGGAGGTTATGGACGTGAATTCTGCTAGGGGAGTGGTATGATAAGTTGGGAAGTGGCAGTGCTTTGATGGCGGTGATTCAACGATAGCGATGATCGAGGCCAGAAAAGGGAGATTTGGAGGTTGTGGTGGCCAAACAACAGAGGTCTGACGGTGACGATGGTGGTGACTAAGTGACGCTAGTTTGGCAGCAATGACGGTAGTGGTCGAACATTAGTGGTGGTTGCCAAATGGTGGTGGTTCGGCGGCAATGGTGGCCAGATGATGGTGGTCTGATGACAATGATGACAGTCCAACGGCGACAACGGTGTTGGCAAGGCAATGGTGCTTTCGTGATGGTGGTGACCCGACAACAATGATTCGGTGTCGTGACATTGGTTGTTGGGCAGTGGTGGTCTGATGGCGATTGTGACCAAATGACGGTGGTCCAATGGTGATGACGATTTTGGATAGGCATCGGTGGTTCGGCGGCTATGGCCAGACGGGGGGTTGGTGAAGCTTGGGAACGCTTAGAGCTTCCTTCAACCTTGTCCTCTAGATCCAACACACGTTTCATGAAAGTAGTGATAGATTTTTGGAGTAACATCATCCGTAAATATTTCATGAATTTAACCACATTATCGGATATCTCAGAATGATTCTCACAATTGAATGTAGTTTTATGAGCATTTAATTGTCTTAATGATGTCATATATAAGTGATCTTGGGCTTATTGGATTCCTCTCGTCTAGATGTTCAAATTGACTATAAAATAGTCAGATTTGGAGAACATTTTGTCCCCTAAAAATATTTCAAACCTCTTATTATGCTTCAAGTGCATGGTCCGGGCTCACTCAGACGCAGATCAAATTATTTTTTATGTCATCTGGTTCATTTCACTGAGATGTTTCATTTGATAAAAAAATTAGAGTGTGGGCATTTTTAATCTAATTTTTTAAGCTTGTTGGAATTCATATTTGATGTGACATACACGGGACATCCTTGTCTAGTGACACGATACTATAGTTGGGTTCGACACCGTCATAACCGTGCCTCGAGTTAATCATTTCTAAGCTGACATTTCTTTCGGTATCCTTGAGGTTGACGTTCGTTTATGTGACACTGAGTCATATCCTGCTGATATGGACATTCTCTTGGCGCAGACGGTCAACTAAAGTACCCCTCAACATGTTCGGACCTTAAGTTCAAAGCTTGAATAGACGGATTTCATGTTGGAACCGCTTTACTCGATGATACGTAGATGCTTTGGTCTCTCAAACTCTTTTGAGACCCATTTAAGATCTCTACGGAGGTCCAAGGATCATTAAATGTTCACATTCAATCCTCCGAAGGTCCATGAGGTCCGGAACCCCCTCAGCGAGCTTCTCTGGAAGCCCTATTTTTTGGGGTTTGGCATGAGGATGCCTAATTAAGGCGTGGCCACGCCTAGTTACTGGTGTCAGCACGCTGAGACCTCCCCGTAGAACACAAAAGTGTTGTGCTTGATGTGACCACGCCCGAAGGTGGCGTGGCCATGCTGACCATTGCAATATGCATGTGAACACGCCTAAATCTCAACAAGCGCCCAAGTTCGTCAACTGACATGACCACACCTGTAAGTGGCATGGCTACGCCGCTCAGATAGAGTGCCAGACAAAATTACGTCTGACCCAGGGTGTGACGACGCCAGACGATAGTGGTGTGAATACGCCTGAGCCCAACAAGGCCACGCTGCCAGAACCAATTCAAGGATTTTGACCCTCTGGTCCCCGGACTCCCGCCGGCGAACAATCGGGATCACTGGCCTTTCACCGTGTGTCAGGTTCATCAACCAAATAAAGCATAGGAGATATTTTGAGGACATTCCAAGTTAGGAAAGCGCCTTGGACCCTTGGATAAACACCTTATAGTTGAATAAACCAGGGGAAGGGCTCATTTAGGATGATCTGTCACCATTGGAGAAGGAGAATAGGTGGAGATATTGGGGAGCTTAGGAGAAGAATCCAAGGACCTTTGAGAGGGAAATCCTTCATCTTCCTTCAAGAGAAATTTAGGGAAAAGGTTCCTCCATCTTTTCCCTCTCTTTCCTCTTATTTTTGTCATCTTTTCCAGTCATCTTCTTCATCTCCGATGACTCACCGACAACGAGAACTTCATCCTGAATTTGGAGAAGTAAGATTCTAGCAATCTCGACATCTCAACTCTCCTATGAGGAGAGCTTCCTCTTTTCTTTGGAGGAGGCAAAATCTGGTGGTGACGTCACTCTCTCCGGTGAGGAGAGCTTCTTTCTATGAGAAGAAACGCTTCAATCAACCGTCACGAAGGAGAAATTCCTTAATTTCCTTATGATTTTCATCTTGGAGCCCCTTGGGTCTGGATGTTAGAGAAATTAATTTAGGATTTTGATTTTTTAGAGGAAACCTCATAGGATTAGGAGCATTTATGTTTCCCCCGTGAATCCATGAGAAAAACCCATCCTTTTCTGTTCTGGACCAAAATCCAAATGTCGGGATCGTTGAAATACCTCATTTGCGCCGGCTTTCGTCCCAATGACTGAAGGGACAAAATCCACCATTTTGTCGTAAAGAACAGAAAGTCTTGAGATTTTGACATTCCCTACA